CCTTGATACACCGGACCCCCTAAGCTCGAATCCAGAGAAAGCGCCCTATTAAACCGGACCCCCGCCAGTTACAAAACAGGCGCCTTAAAATACCGGACTCCAGGGACGATTGATACAGGATTTGGAGTAGGAGGAGAGGGGGGGAGGAGGGGGATTGGTATAAATTCCAAGGCGCATCAGTAATGTCGTAAGAAGCCTTCCCTCCAAGTTGCCACTCCAGAGGTCTGCTGCAACATGTAATCTCACTGCTGGAAGTTCCCCGTTAGATGACAACTGTCTGAGAAATTCTAATCGTGCCAAACACAACTCCGTGGATATCAACGCTTCGAATCAACTGTACTGTTGCGTCATGACGATCCTGCATCGTGCCAAAACAACAGCCTGGGGATTTCGTACCGCGAATCAAAATGGTTGGTGCGACCTGACAATCCTAAATTGTGGCAGAGCACAAGTTCAGGGACCAGCCATAATATTGCGTTGAAGTGTTCTGCAGTTTGAAGACGACGGTGCGCGACCCCCCCAGGCGAGAACCACATGTTGAAAACGCGCCGCCCTCCATCCGAGAAGTTGCTGCAAATGTTTAAGACGAATTGGGCGCAGCGCCAAGGGAAGAAATACATGCTCAAAACCACCCGCCTTGCATCCGAGAGTGTGATGCAGACTTTTAAGACGAATGAACGCTGCGCCAAAGCGACAGTTACACTCTGAAAAAAAGCCGCCTTCCAGACGCGAATCCGTTGCAGAATCGCGGAGCGAAGGCGAGAGCCACATTTTGAAGACCACATCCGTGAACCCGCTGCAATGTGTTAAAGCGAGTGCGTGCGGCGCTAAGGCGAGAGCCAGATGTTTAAAAACGGCCCGCCCTCCATCCATGAACTTGTTGCCAGCTTTTAAGACGAATGCACTCGGCGCTAAGGGGAGAGAAACAGTTTGAAAACCAGCCGCCCTCCATCCGTGAACCCGCTGCCAGCTTTTAAGACGAATGTGCGCGGCGCTGAGGCTAGAGCCACGCTTTGAAAACGGCCCGCCCTCGATCCGAGAAGCTGTCGCGAATTTGACGTCGAATGCGCGCGGCGCGAAGGCGAGAGCCACATCTTGAAAACGGCCCGCTCTCCATCCTCGAATTGCCTTGCCAACCTTCCAAGACGAATGTGCGCAGCGCCAAGACGGGAACCACATCTTGAATACAACCCGCCCTCCATCCGTCACGTTCTTGCAGACTTTAAAGGCGAATGCACGCGGCGCGGAGACGAGAGCCACATTTTGAAAACCACCCGCCCTTTATCCGTGAACTCGATGCGATGTTTCAAGACGACCGTGCCCGGCGCTGAGGCGTGAGCCACATGTTGAAAAAGGCGCCGACCTCCATCCGTGAAACATGTTCATTACTACGTTCCAGAATTATACATGGTCAGGACGTCTAGGGCGAAAAAGCACATCTCAGGGTGCAACAGGGAGGGGCGATGTACAAGGAGACAGAATGGAGGAGAAGGAGGAGGAGGAGGAGGTGGACGACGGGAGGAGGATGGAGGAGGAGGGGAGGAGGAGGAGGAGGAGGATTGTGGGAGAGAGGAGGAGGAGGAGGAGGTGGAAGACGAGGAGGGAGAAGAGGAGGAGGAGGAGGAGGAGGAGGAGGAGCAGGAGGAGGGGGAGGGAGGAAAAGGAGGGAGGAGGAGGGGGAGAAGACGAGGGTGGAGAAGGAGGATGAGGATGAGGAGGAGGATAATGAGGAGGAGGAGGAGGAGGAGGAGGAGGAGGAGGGGGGATGAGGAGGGAGGAGGAGGAGGGAGGAGGGAAGGGAGAAGAAGGAGGGAGGAGGGAAGGCAGGAGAAGGAGGGAGGGAGGAGAAGGAGGAGGAGGAGGAGGAGGACGATGAGGAAATTGAGGAGGAGGAGGCGGATGAGGAGGAGGATATTGAGGAGGATGAGGAGGATCAAGGAGGAGCATCGAGGAACGAGGGGGGGGGGCGTAGGATCGAGGAGGGAGGACCGAGGATACCTTTCGCCGCGCCCTCCGCCGAGCCCTCCGCGGGCGCGCGAGCGCACGGGCCCGCGCCCGACCCCCGCGCACGCGCCGCGAGCGCCCCCTCGGCACGGGGCGCAGCGCCAGGGACGCCCCCCTCGTCTCCCCCCCCCTCTTTCTCCTCCTCCGCATCCTTCTCCTCCTTTTCTTCTTCCTCCTCCTCCTCCTCCTCCTCCTCCTCTTCCTCCTCCTCCTTCTCCCTCAAGAACCACTCTGGCCCAAGCCTGTGCTGGGTCCAGGGTGCCCATGGGCTGGACCAGCGTTCCGCTGTGCTTTCTTGAGCGCCTCATCCGAGGCGAACGCAAGGGTGCTCGGTCACTGGGCGCTACGGGCTCCGCCCGTCCCGCTTGGTGGGTGAGCTCCTCTGCCGCACGCCAATCATGTCTGTGCTCCTTGCTTTCGCGCTCTTCCTGGTGGTCGACTCGAAGGTGATCGTTGAGCATAACTCATCGGCAGCGTTCGGCGAGGAGCGCTTCACCACTCTTCGTTCTCCGTCTTCATCTACGGCAGTCTTTGGTGTGTTGCGGTGTCAGCACTTCGGTGTACGTGGTCCTCGCGTTCATGTGCCTACCCGTCTCGCTACACCGCCCCCATTTACGGCTCTCGCGGCTGGCCTTCTTGCTGCGTTTCTTCGGCTTCGGGCAGGACGTGGTGCTGGACAGCGTCGCCTTCCCTGCCCCGCTTTCGCTTCCTGGGGTCGCGATGGTGGATCTGTCGCCGGGCCGGTTGTGCGCGTCAGGCGCTCCAGAGCTGAAGTAGCTCCTCTACAACCAGGTGGCGAACAAGATCGTGACCGCCTTTGGCGTCGTGACGGTGACGATCAACAACAAGGCGCCCATCGTGAGCTCCGCGACTTGGGCGTGCCGCAGCCTGTACATCGTATTCACGCTATTGTGCCTCAGCAGGCCGCCGTCTGGCACTTTTCCATGCGATGCAGGTGGCGCGACAGTTCAGGCAGTATGCAACGCAGTCGGCCGCCATGTATACCCAGATTTGTTCAACATGCCTGTTGGAATGTTCCCATTCTTCCCACCGCTGCCTGGCGACCTCGGCGAGGGTCTTGGCCCGCCCGACAGGCTACGGTTGGACCATGGCGTGGTCGTTCTTGCTGGATCGCGTCTCTGTCTTTGGATCGGCTACCCTGAGCAGCCAATCGCGAGGCCTGGCGTAATGGATTTTATGCGTGCTACCGCAACTGGCATTGCTGCTAATTCAGGCGCCAATCTTAAGTCGGGACCTGCGACTCCTCACCCCCCCTTGCTTGGCTCGGAGCGCGGCCTGAGTCCAGTAGGGAAATAGGTGCTCGAGATCGCAGCAGGTCTCGCGCCCACATTCGCCACGCCAGGCCAGTCTTGTCGCCGAGTAGCTCGCCCCCTCCCAGCAGAGGATCGATCGGCCCCCCCACGGCGTCGGCGGTTCACTGTCGCCCAGGGAGGAGCCGAGCCGTTTCGTGAAGTCCGCCAAGGAAGGGCTGCGCGCTCAAGAAGCCTTCGAGGAGGTGAAGCGCCGTCGAGTCGCTTCTTCACCGTCGCCTCGGCCTGGTAAGCAGGTATCAGTGGCTCGCCCTCCTGCTGGCCCGCCGCCAACGCGCCTGGTTGAGGCCCGCCGCGCCAAAGAGCGCAGCAGGGCTCCTCAGGCCAAGTCCCACGCAGGTGAAGCCACGTGCTCGGTGGGCCACTCACTGATCCTTTAACATGAGACGACGTGGATGTTCGTTTGTGAGTGGTGCAACAATCGTCTCCCGCGCGGCTCGATCACCTTCTGGTGTAGGCGTTTGAGTACACGGTTTGCGGCGACTGCTGCTCGCCGCCTACGCCTCCCAATGGGGTGTCTGTTTTAGCGTAGGAGAGGGACTCAGCAGCTAGCGGCTCTGCTCCGTCGCAACGCGCGGCTGCCCCCGCTGCCAAACGCACGCCTGCTTCGGCACGTGCCACGGAGCAGGTCCCAAATAGGCTGTTAAGGCCCAACTATGATGACGTGCGCCCCCCAGTGTGCACGGACTGCAAGGGCAGAGCCTGGCCAGGCTTGTATTCGAAATCAGGCAGGTACCACTGCGCCGCTCCGTTGTGCCGTAACTTCATGCCGAAGGATGGATGCCGTCCTCACAGGGGACATGGGACGGCCAGTGGCGGGGTCTTGCCTCGCTCAATGCGGGCAAGGGCTTCGCCTGCATATTGTGTTGGCTCGAGGAACGCACGGAGGCAGACCTGCCCATGTGGCAGCGCTGGGTCACGCACCGACAGAACATGTACGGTCGTGCATTTCCCCCCAACCCTTCCGAATGGAGGCTCCAAGCTTGCCCCGCCGCACTTTAAGGCCTGGCGCGCCTCGGCGCTCCACCCTTTTGTGGTTGTGTGCCTCCCAGGATCTTCCAGGCTTGCCGTGCTTGCAGCGCGGGTCTCCTTTTCTTTTCTGTTTCCGTCGGTGCTTGGCACTTTCGGGGGGGCTCCTCTCTTTTCTGGAAGATTCGCGGGCTCGGCCTGGCTGCACGTGTCGGTGCCCATCCCGGTTCCTCGGGGTTCGGTGGTCTTTTCGTCGTTGGTTTGTCTGGTCTTTGGCCTTTCACTGCTGCGCGATCGTGCGGTGCGTCCAGGCTTGGTCCCTGGTAATTTGTACGGAACATTGCGTGGCCACGGGGGCATTGCCCTGACTGTGGTCCTAAAGCCTGCGTTTTGAGCGGTTGCTGTGCCTTCTTTGGAGTTCGGGGTGTAGGCGCAGGCCTCGCCCAGCACAGCCCGTTTTACTTGTCCCTCACGGGGCTCTTTGGCTGCGGATGTCAAAAAATCCTTCTCCTTCTCCTCCCCCCTCCTCCCCCTCTCGCCTTCTCCATCTCCTCCTCCTCCTCCTTCTCCTCCTCCTTGTCCTCCTCCTCCTTTTCCTCCTCCTCCCCTTCCTCCTCCTCCTTTTCCTCCTCATCCTCCACCTCCTCCTCCTCCTCCCTCCCCCCCTCTCTCCTCCTCCCCCTCCTCCCCCTCCTCCTCCTCCTCCTCCTCCTCCTCTTCCTCCTCCTCCTCTTCTTCCTCCTCCTCTTCCTCCTCCTCCTCTTTCTCCTCCTCCTTGTCTTCCTTCTCGTCCGCCTCCGGAGATATCGCCATGAAGCAAGCGGTGTCCTGAGGGAAACGGGCCTTGGAGGTCTCTCGCCGTCCACGGGTTTCGGTGGGCCCCATGGCTACCAGAAGACGACTCGTGATGAAGAGCCGTTTCTGGGGGGAAGGCCCCTGGGTTCAGGACCCGTTTCCCTCGGGGGCCGTCTCCTTCCATCTCAGAGGGGCCAGGATACCGCAGGCTGGGGCCCCGAGAATGCTGGGCCAGCTGGAGAGAGCGCAGAATGGAGATTCTTTTGATCTTCGGCTGATGCTTACTCGGGCGTGCCGCCGTCCTGATTGATGAGAGCCCCCGTTTGCGGGACCCTGACCGCTCAGCGGCACCGCGCTGGGTGCTCGCTGGCGGGTGCTCACTGACCCTCACCGCGGATGGCTGCCTCCAGAGCCTCCTCTCGGGCATCCCACACCCCCGACGTCATGCTTTGTTCATGACGTCGACCCCCAGGGGTCTCGACCCGTTCCCCGGGACCGGTTTCTCATCCTGAGTCATTTTGTTGACGGTCCCGAGGCCCCCGCCAAGGGCCTCCAGAGGCCGAACGTGTGGAACAGCTTCCCGCCGTGAGTTCTGCACTGCCCGAGGGGTCCTCGGTCTCGGGCATTGCAGCGCTGCCCGCCCTGGGCATCGCTCGGACGTGTGCATTTTTCCTTCGGCGAGGACCATCGAGGAGCATCCTTGATCATCTCGCGAAAAAATCACCAAAGCACAGGAAATGGACGTCCGAGCGATGGCCAGCGCCGAGTGTCGGGGAGGCGTGGGTCCGCCGGGCCGCTGGCCGAGGCGCCCCTGGGTGTCGTCCCCGTGCGCGGGGAGCGCTGCCCCCCCTCCCCCCCCCTGGGGCCCGGCGCGCCCTCGCGCGGATGGTCGCCGACGGGCCACGGGAGGGCTGCGAACCCAGAACTGGAGGGTTTCTCCGAAGGGCTTATAGGCGACCCGTCCTCTTCCTCCCTCTTCCTCCTCCTCCTCCTCCTCCTCCTCCTCCTCCTCCTCCTCCTCCTCCTCCTCCTCCTCCTCCTCCTCCTCCTCCTCCTCTCCTCCTCCTCCTCCTCCTCCTCTCCTCCTCCTCCTCCTCCTCCCCCATCTCCTCCTCCTCCTCCTCCTCCTCCTTCTCCTCCTCCTCCTCCCCCATCTCCTCCTCCTCCTCCTGCTCACACTCCTCCTCATCTCCTCCTCCTCCTCCTCCTCCTCCTCCTCCTCCTCCTCCTCCTCCTCCTCTCCTCCTCCTCCTCCTCCTCCTCCTCCTCCTCCTCCTCCTCCTCCTCCTCCTCCCCCCCCCTCCTCCTCCTCCCCCTCCTCCTCCGCCTCCTCCTCATCCTCCTCCTCCTCCTCCTCCTCCTCCTACTCGGGTCGCCTACGGCCCCGGTGGAGACCGTGCACCCAGACCCCCGACGTCATGATTGTTTCATCGCGTCGACTCCCAGCGACCCCTTTCCCTGGATCAGTTCCTCGCCCCGAGGCGTGCTTCGACGGCCCCGAGGCCCGGCGAGGGCCCCCGGAGGCCAGCAACATAGCAGAGGACTTCCCGCCGTGACTGCTTCACGACGCGAGGGGGTCCGAGGAGAGAAGGGCGGCCACGCAGGCTCCCCAGACCCCCGACGTCATGATTTTTTCATGACGTCGACCCCCAGAGATCTCGACCCATTCCCCAGGACCGGTGTTGCATCCCGAGTCGTTTTTTGACGCTCCCGAGGCCCGGTGAGGACCCCCGGAGGCCGAAAATTAAGGAAAAAACGCCCGTCGTGATTTTTTCATTACTCGAGGGGGTCTGGGTCTCGAGGGTCCGCGGCGGACCTCTCGGTGGCGGCGCGGGGAGCCCCCACGAAGCGGCGCCCCCCGCGCCGCCGAGCTTCTGCCGCGCGCCGCCCGCGGCGCCGGGGGAGGTCCGAGCAGGGTGAGGTCGGGCCTGCCCCTCTACAGGAGGAGGAGGAGGAGGAGGAGGAGGAGGAGGAGGAGGAGGAGGAGGAGGGGGGGGGGAGCAGCAGAGCCAGCGGCGAGGCGGGGCGAGGCAGGGCGGGGAGGGGCCCGGCGGGGCGGGACGGGGGGGCGGGGCGCCACGGAGGCAGGGCGAGGGCCGAGCATAGTCAAGGAATAGAGTCAAAAACCCTCATAAGGTCGCGCGGCTTTGCTCAGGGTGCCCTTGCGTCCTTGCTCTTCCTTGCTCTGGCGTCCCTGAGGTTTTCGGCGTCCGCCGCCCCCAAAATCCCAACTTCGGCTTCCAAGGGTCTTGCGTCCTTACCGCGCGTCCTTGTGAGGGTTTCTGACTGTAGTCAAGAAATAGGATGGGAACGATGTCTGGACTATTTTTGAGCAGTGGGGGATTGGTTTTGTGTGTTCTAGATCTTTCGCCCACAGTCCCCCTGTATGGGGGACAGGCCCGACCCTAAGAGTAGGGGGTCGACTCCAGAGCTGATGTACTACAAGATAGACCCAGACCCCCTCGCGCTGTAAAAAAAAACACGACGGGAGGGTTTTCACAATTTTCTGCCACTGGGGGCCCTTACGGGCCCTCGGAACCGTCCAAAAATTATTCAGGATGAAAATCCAGTCCCAGGGAATCGGTCTGGACCTCTGCGGATCGCGTCATGACAAGATCATTTCCAGGGGTCTGGGGAAGTACTTTTTCTCATGGGCCCGACGAGGAACGCAAGTCTGGGGCCAAGCAAGTCTGCAGTCGATCCACTGCTCGAGATCCTCGCGGCCCTCCGAGAGGCTGCCTCTCGGTGCAGCTTTTCGTGTGCCTCCTCTCCCCGCCAGTCGGAGGGCACCAACTATACACCAACACCGATCCTGGCCCAGGGAGGTCCTGGCCAGGAGGCCAGGATCGGTGTTGGTGTGTAGTTGGTGCCTTCCTACGCGAGAGGCCGGACGAGGAGCTGCAGGCGCTGCTCTCCGCCCGGAGGCAGCGGGTGGACGAGCAGGGCGAGGAGTACTCGAGCGGCGCCGGCGGGGAGCAGCGGGGCGCGGACGCGACGCGGGCCTGCCGTCCGGCGCGCCGAGACGACACCGAGCGCGTTCCACTGTTCGCAGGAGGGAAGGAAACACACAGGCACAATGAATCGTCGACTCCCTAGAGAATATAGGAAAATATGGGAATTGGAGGGGAAGACAAAAACCAAGCAGGACGGGAGGTTTCCTTCATTTTCGGCCTCCGGGGGCCCTCACAGGGCCTCGGGAGCGTCAAAAAACGACTCAGGATGCAAAGCCGGTCATGGGGAAAGGGTCGGGACCTCTGGGGGTCGACGTAATGAAAAAATCATTACGTCGGGGGTCTGGGCTGTTCGCAGAGCGCCTCCTCGCAATCGTCCGAAAAAGCAGTTGTGTGTCTCGATGTAATACGTCGTGAATCCACCGCGTGGCGAGAAGTTCATCTAATTACGAGTTGTGGAGCGCGCTTGTCTGGAGTCGACACCGCCCCGTCGCCGCCGCGCCTCGCTCTGCTCTCCGGCAGGGCAGGGGGTCGTCTCTCTCTCTCTCTCTCTTTCTCTCCCTCTCCTTCTCCCCCCAGACCCCCTCGAGTCAGAAAGAAGTCAGGGCGGATGGTTTTTCGCTGCATTCGGCCTCTGGGGGCCCTTCCCGGGCCTCGGGACCGTCAACAAAAACGACTCGGGATGAGAAGCGGGTCCTGGGGAAGGGTTCGAGTTTTCTGAGGGTCGTCGTTCTCGAGTCCTCCCAGATGTCCGAGCAGATGTGGTCGGAGGATCGCGTCGCAACGCCGATGCGGCTCGATGCGGAGCTCGATCGGTTTCCTCCACGCCGACGGCGCCGATGCATCGCCGACGTTGCCGGTGCATCGCCAATGCATCGCCGATGGATCGGCGATGCAGCGCGAGCCTCCGACCCCATCTGCTCCGACCCCATCTAGGAGGCCTATACTCTCTCTCTCTCTCTCTTTCTCTTTCTCGCTCACGGTTCGGGTGTTGCATAAGGTGGCGACTTTTCTTTCTCCTCGCCCCTCGCCCGCCTGCGCCCCTGTGCCGCAGTTCGCAGCGGATGTATCCCGTCGTCTGCTTTAGGTCGGGCATGTCCCCCTTACAGGCGGATTCTGGACGAAACATAGAAGATACCCTAAAAAGATTCCCTAATGGTCGAAACATATTTTGAGAATCGTCCCCGTAATATTTTGTTCGCTATTTCTGAATGCATATTCCTCCTGTAGAGGGACAGGCCCGACTCGACTTTAATGTTTGCTTGACAGTTTGTTGGGCCCACTTCGCCGCGGACCAAGACTTGTTGCTAGGAGAAAGTCGGCCTGTCCCCCTACAGGGGACGGCCCATCCTGCCCAGGGCCGCGCTGGCTCGCTCTCGGGGGGCCCGTGGCCGGTCTGTCGGCGATGCATCGCCGGTCGCAGCTCGATTCACCAGCCTCGAACGTATCCCCATCCCTAAGATTGACACGCCAGAAGGAGATGACAATCTGAGGGATGTACCCTCAGAAACGGAGAAAGTCCCTAAGATCGCCATCGTGATGAGGCGATGCCCAACATAGGGATAGGGATATGTTCCAGGCTGGTAATCGATGCTTCCCTCCTCTGAGCTGGTCCCCCCATGTCGTTTATGGAAGACTCAGGGGCAACGATAGGGGGGGGATAGGCATGGGGGGGGTGCATCGGCCCCCAATCGCCCCTTGATCGCCGATAGGGGCCCGATAGCCCCAACCTGCTCAGGAAGGTGCGGAGTCACTATCGGTGACCTATCGCCGATTTATCGGCGATGTATCGCCGATTCCAGGTCGATGCATCCCCGCCCCCCATGCTAGTCCCCCCCTATCGTTGCCCCTCAAAGAAGGAGGAGAAGGAGAAGAAGGAGAAGAAACAAAACCAAATCATCAACAGAAATGTTTTGCGCTCCGCGCGGATTTCCTGGATCGGCGCTGGGCCCCCTGGCGGCGCCTCTGGCGCCGCCCCTGACACGCTCCGCGCGCCAGGGGGGAGGGGGTCCGGCGCGAATCCAAGAAATCCGCGCGGACCTCCAAAAGTTTATGTTTATGTGATTTGTTTTGTTCCTCTAGGTTAACCTCCTCTCCCGCCACCTGCCTCTGGTGAGCTGGTCTCCCCACGTCGTTCATGTGAGCGTTTTTGTTTCCCTCTTGCGTAACGCTCGTCAGCCAGGCCAACCCTCCCACCCACCCCCGAGTAACGCTAACGATCGTGCCCTGGGGGAGGGGGGGGCCTGGCCGCCCCCCCCACATGCTGGGGTGCTGGGAGCGGACCCCCTGCGGTATGGTGCTGTGCTCACGGGCGCGGCATGGTCTGAGCGGCGCGCATTGGGGCTCACAAACGTGCTGAGGCGCTCGCAGTCGTCGACCGTCGTCGTCGTCGTCGTCGTCGTCGTCGTCGTCGTCGTCGTCGTCGTCGTCGTCGTCGTCTTCTTTGTCGTCGTCGTCAGATGCAGGTGGTGATGGCTCAGCTACCGCAGGCCGCTTCGACCACTTCTTCCGCAAGTGCGAACTGCAGTGGCTCTCTCTCTTCCTCCTGGCCGGTATGCAGTGCGATTCGGTAACCGCGCCTTATAAGGACGCGCGCCCTCTCCAGGGTACCGGTGCGTCCTTTCCTCTGCTGCCTGTCCTTTGCCGCTTTCGCTTGCCAGGTTTTGCAACAAATCCCAACTTCGGCTTCCAAGGGTCTTCCGTCCCTACCACCCGTCTGTAATGCACACATCAAGTGCAGACCCAGAGCGATGGAGGAGATGAAGGCTGGGCGGCCCCGCGCCTTCTCCCGCGGACAACGTGGTGTGCGCAGGCGCTGTGGTTCACGCAGGCAGCGTGGTGCACACTGGCGCTGCGTTGCACACGGCTGCTGCGGTGTACACAGGCGCTGTAGTGTACGCAAGCGCTGTGGTGCACGCAGGCACTGTGGTGTACTTTGGCGCTGCGTTGCACGCGGCCGCTGTGGTGTACATTGGCGGTATGGTGTGCGCAGGCGTTGTGGTGCACGTGTGTAGAATCCGCAGGCGTTCCAGTCTCCATAGGGACTCCGTCAAAACGTGTATACAAAACGTTCGTCTTCTGTGGAGTCCAAAGGCGCCCCAATTTCCAGAGGGATTCCTTTATCAAACAAAGGCTTTCCTGTGGAATTCAGACGCGCTCCCTAGCGATCTTGTTTCAAATTCTATATAAAACTTGGGTTTCGTGGAATCTAGAGGCGCTCCATTTTCCATTGGGGTTCCTGTAGTATTCCCCTTGTACATAATGGTTGTCTGTATGATCCTATTTTTAACAACGGTTGCTGCAGTATACACAGGCACTGCGGTGTGCATGGGCGACGTGGTGCTGCATTGCACGTGGCTGTTGTGGTGAACGCAGGCACTGTGGTGTACACAGGTGGCGTTGTGTTGCACGCAGGCATTGGGCATTGTTGTGTACACAGGCGATTGATGCGCCGGTGGCGCGGACGCACCCTGGCGGGCGCACGCCGCAGCCGCCGTCACCGTTACCCTCCCGCCCTCCCCCCCCTTCCCCCCGGGTAACGAACGGCTGTTACCCGAAAAAGTCAAACATTGTCACGACTCAAAAAAGAGAAGGAACAAATATTCAACATAAACTGTTTGCGCTCCGCGCCGATTTCCTGGATCGGCGCTGGGCTCCCCTGGCGGCGCCTCCGGCGCCGCTCCTGGCACGCTCCGCGCGCCAGGGGGGGGTGTCCGGCGCGGATCCAAGAAATCCGCGCGGACCTCCAAAAGTTTATGTTTATGTGGTATTTTGTTCCTCTAGTTTACCCTCCTCCCCCAGACAATTGCCTCCGACAGGCGAAGTGGAGCGAGCTGGACCCCGCCCAGTTCACGCCGAAGTCTGCTTACCATCGCGCCCACGAGGCCCTCTCGGCCATCTCGGAGGCCTGTTCCCGCGTTCCCATCCGCCCCCCCTCGAGGAGTAGGGCGGGGATGACGAGGAGAAGGGCGAGACGGAGGAGAGAGAAGAGACCCTGGAGACTGATGAGGGGAACGATGATGAGCAGGAGAAGGTGGAGGAGGTGGAGCAGGACGACGAGAACGACGAGGAGGACGACAACGAGAAGGTCGACGATCACGAGAAGGACACTGAGTACGAGGAGAAGGAGGAGGAGCAGGAGGAGCAGGAGGAGCAGGAGGAGCAGGAGGAAGATCTGGATGAGGAGGACGAGCGAGGAGTTTTAGCAGGAACATGTTCAGGAGGAGGGGAGGATCCTCAGGAGGAGGAGGAGGAGGAGGAGGAGGAGGAGGCGGAGGCGAAGGTGGAGATGGTGGTGGTGGTGATGGTGGCTGTGGTGGTGGTGGAGGAAGATGAGGAGGAGCAGGAGGAGGTGGAGAAACAAGGGCAACGTCAGGGGGGGACTGGACTCAGGGGGGGATGCATCGGCCCTCAATCGCCTACTCATCGCCGACAGGGGCCCGATGGCCCACCCCGCCAAGGAACACGCGGTGCCGCTATCGGGGGCCTATCGCCGATGACCGGCGATGCATCGCCGATGCCAGGTCGCTACTTCCACCTCGCCTGAGCCGTTCTCCCCGAACGTTCTCCTCAAGAAGGGGGGAGAGATGGAGAAGGACGAGGAAGATGGCGACGGTTAGGACGACACCGAGGCCGAGGAGGAGGATGGGGGAGAACAGGTATGCCCCGATTTCGAATCAAAAGGGACGCTCGCAAAATCACCATATCATCCACCGAGCGGGAAGGTCGAGATGATGATGATGATGATGATGATGATGATGCTGCTGCTGCTGCTGCTGCTGCTGCTGATGATGATGATGATGATGATGATGATGATGATGATGATGATGATGATTATTGATGTGCGTGCACAGGTTTGAATGGGAGTTGCTCGGAGTCATGTTGCCTCTGCGTCTGTCAACCGCAACCGTTTTCCCTCAAGTTTCTCGCGGATGAAGTGCTGACAGGCCGCCAGCACAGGGGCGGTCTTTGTGGCCTTCTTCGAGGCAGTCTTTCGACCGCCCCTCACTCAGCCTCTGCAGATCAACTGCCCTGGCAATGGCGAGCCCTGGCCCGAGTGTCCGCCTTGTCCAAGCCTCACTGGTCCGCCCGCGCTGCCCACGGAGGATTCCGACCTGAGGAAGCGTGCCGCCGACGGGGTGGAGCCCGTGTGTGGAGCGGACTGGTGGCTCTGCTCGTCTGCCTCGCCGTGGCGATCAACGCCGTCTGGTTCGTTGTGTCCGCCTGCCGTCGTCGACACTAGGACGCTGGTGGCGTCGGCGGGCGGCGGGGCGGCGCGGGAGCTCTGGAGACGGTTGCGGCCAGGAGAATGAACCTGGCGCGGGGCGAGGACGACTCAGTGTTGCGTACGCCGAGAGCATCGTGGGCTACGAGGACGGGCCCGCCAAGACGCACGGGGCCCGTGACGGTGCGCGGCCAGGCGGGCTGCGAGAGGGCGTGTACCGTCCCAAGGAATGCCTTGGGGTGCGAGAGCTGAGAACGCTGGTGACGGAGGATCGCGAGGAGACGAGCCTGGCGGCGGAAGGCGCCCCTTTGCTCGTGGTCTGAGTGTACGTCAGCCCTGGAGGGCTCGGGAGACCGATTGGGACGTGGTGGGAAGCCGCTGGGGGAGTCGCGGTGGGCGTGGACGCGCCACCTGCTGCTGAGGCTGGCGTTCTGCCTGCAGGACTGACGGTGGCCACTGCGCTGGTGCCTCCCGGGGGGAGGGTCTGGGCGGTGGTGGATCGGTCGGTGGACGGGGGGCGCGTCGGCGAGCAGCTGGAGGTCGGTGTCGGCGACCTGATGGTCGGGGCTGGCGATCAGGGCGGAGGTGGGGGCATCCCCAGCACTGATGGAGACGTTCGCGCATCGGTCGTCGACTTCGACGCTCAGGGCAAGGAGTACAAGGCCTGGGCGGGAGTAGAGGCGGAGATGTCGCGACACGTCCTCGCGGACTGGCCGGCCGACAGGCCCCCGACTGCAACCCACTTCTGCGCCCAAATGGAGAGAACTGGATGTGTGCCGTCTGGCTGGCTGGACAACTGGGCGCAGAGCAAGGAGATCGCGAGCAGCGACCGTGTGTATTACGAGTTGAGGATGATCATAGATTCGTTGGAGTTCGCAGGGTGCCATGACCAGCTCAACCTCGGGTCGGTGGTGAATGCCGAACTCCTCTGCTTGCGAGTGCAGACTATGGTCGACGTCTACGAAGCCAACCCGAACAAGCCTAGCTTCGAGAACGCGAAGTACCTCTCGGGACTCACGAGCTTGACGGACGTGGTGTGGCCCGATTTGAGGAATTCTGCGGCCCGCAGGGCCAAGGAGGATACCGAGGCTGAGGAACAGCGGCAGGAGGTCATAAAGCTTCGCGTCAAGGGCGACAGCAACAAGACTGATGCCGCAGGGGGGAGGAGGTGATCGAGGCGACTGTGTCTGGGACCACCAGCGGACACAGCACGCATATGAGACTGGTGGGCAGTACCCGAAGAAGCATTTCAACCCCGAGAAGATTTGTCCTGTGCCGTTGCTCGAGACAGAGCCCCCTGCTCGTGGTCTCTCCCGTGGAGTACGCCGACGAGTCGGGCGTCGGCGCGAGTTGGACAACAGGGCCAACGAAGTTCTGCATGCTCTGAACTGGATGTCGGGCTGCGGAGTCGCTGCTGAGGTATGTCGAGCCCCTGCAACCGCCGCCCCCGTCCATCGAGAGATCTACGAGCGGGTGCTGAAAGCTGTCCACAGCTGGAGGCCGCCTCGCCACAGTGTCTCTCAGGAGGAAGCCGCGCGCGCGCTTCTCCGCGCCGAGTCGGTGTACGACCAGGCGGACATGGCTGTGACACCCTACGAGGAGGGCAAGGTGTCGCTCCCCGCTGACGCCCGCGACGCAAGGTGCGCAGACTTGATCGGGGGCACACGCGCCCGCGTTTTGCTCGAGAGGTTTATCGAACGTAATCGGCGGAGTTCCGAGGAGTCGAGCGAGCTCGATCACGCTTGGGGGCTGTTAAGCCGTGCATGGGCCGCCGCTTGGAGTCGTCGCCTCGGCTCTACAGGAGGTTTGTGCGCCAGCTTGACCAAAAGGGCATGATTCATTGGACGAAGACCCCCAAGTATCTTATCTCAGTGTTCTTCGTCAAGAAGAAGAGCGGGGGCCTTCGTATGATCACGGATGCGAGACCTGTTAATAGACTTTTGTCGGCCCCCCCCTGGAGCACAGCTATGCACCGCTGAGGGCCTGGGGCGAATCGAACTCCAAGGGGGGGTCGCCCACGTGTACATGGCGCAGGTGGACGTCGCGGACTGCTTCCACCGGCTGCGGATGCGGGAGGAGCTCGCGGAGTTCTTTGCGACGCCGCCTCTGTCGGCACGGGCTGCCGGACTGCTGGGCCGCTCTGGCCTGGACGTCGGTTCCGAGGAGGAGCTGTGGTGGCCCTGCTGCGCCACCTTCCCGATGGGCTTCAGCTGGAGCCTCGCGGTGGCGCAGAGCGTGAACGAGTGCCATGCGGCGCAAGGGCCCGGGCTGGAGCTGGCGCCGCCGATGGCGGATCGCCGCGGACCCGCGGTGCTGCGCGAGGGCGCGGCAGCCGCGCACTACGTGTACATGGACGACCTCGGCGTGATCAGTGCGGGGCGGGATGCGGGCGCGGCTGGCTTCGCGGGCGCGCGCGAGTCCTTCGAGCGGGCAGGCTTGGCGCTGCACGACCGCCTGGAGGAGCCGAACGCGATGGAGAGCTTGGGGGTGGAGCTGGATGCTGAGAGGCGCGAGACGCGGCTTGCCGTGGCGCGCTACTGGCGGCTGGGCGCTGGGTTGCGCTGGCTGCTGGCTCGGCGGAAGGTCTCTACACACGTGGTCGAGGTTTTCGTGGGGCATTGCACCAGCGTCGGTCTGCTCATGAGGCAGACGATCTCCGTCTTCCACGCCGCGTACAAGTTTGTGCAGGCCTAACCCGCGGGGCTTTTCCCGATGTGTAGCTCGGTGAGGGCCGAGTTCGCCGCTTTCTTGGGGCTCATGCCGCTGTTGATCGCTTCTTGGGAGTTGCCCTGGAGCGGAGTGGTCGACGCCAGCGACGCGAGCGAAGGAGGGTGGGGAAGTTGCTCTACGCGGCGGGGAGCTGAAGCTGCAGCCCTACACGGACGCGTGCCCGAGAGGTCAAGATGCACATTGACTTCGGCTTCAGCCAAAGCCCACGCCTTGCATCGGGCTGGCTGGGACTCGTTCGACGAGGAGGAGTCGGAGCTCTTGGGGGAGGAGTTCGAGGAGGTGGAAGGCTTCCCCGAGATCCCGAGGCGCCTGCTTGACAAGCGGGATTGGCGTGTCACCCTTCGGGGCCGCTGGAGAGCAGCGGAGCACACTACCCTGTTGGAGTCCTGGGCGGCAGTGGCCATGCTGCATCGGGGCGCGCGAGCGCGGCCTGGCGCTGGCGTTCGCAAGTTGTATATACTAAACAACCTGGGGATGGTGCTAGCCTTCGAGCGGTGCTGGGCACGAGATTTTGCAATGTTGACTCAAGTAAAAAAGTGGTGCGCGATCTTTCTGGCAAGAGAGATTCGACCAGCTATCAGGTGGATTCCGTCAGAGTGGAACGTCGCAGATGAGCCCTCAGGAGACCTCCATGGTGGCCCTCTCCGTTTACCGCAGCCGCCTGGGCTCGAGCTACGAGCAGGACGGCAGAAGGGCTTCCTCCAGAGCGGCAACCGACGGCGCATGCTGCCGCAGGCTGGGCCGGGCGCGACGGGGCCGCCGAAGGCGGGCAGGCATGCGTGGGGGCATGCCGTCCCTGTGGCGGGGCGGCCGCGGGCGGGTCAGATGGAGCTGGGGCTGCCGAGCAGGCTGCGAGTGCTGGCCGAGGACGCGGCCCCCGGCCCCCTGACCTCCAGGCCGCGCTGCAGGCGGGCGAGGCTGTCCGACGCCCTCGAGGATTGCAGGAAGGGCGTCGTCGCCGATCCACCCGTTTCGGAGGACAGCAGCGAGAGCCTGTCGGAGCTGTCGAAGGAGGCGACTCAGAGGGCGAGGAGGCTCGAGAGGGGTTTCGCCCTCTACCTGACACGGGGGGCCACGCACCTGGGCGGGGAGAGCGCGACCCCGAAAGTGACGGTGGGCTACCACCGCCGACTGGAGATGGCGCTCAGCCACACCCAGAAGCGGCAGGTGCCCGTCAACAACGCCGACGAGGTCGGCCGACTGCCCACCGACCTGATGAACACTAAGTACTTCGACGGCGAGTGCAGCAGCTACGGCGTCGAGCTTCTGGGCGCCTTGGATGGCAATCTACCGCAAGGATGGCAAGGTCGGCCCGCAGCAACCGCCCAGGAGTGGACGAACGCTCAAGGGCTGGAAGCGACTGGTGTCGCTGTGGATCCTGGTGCGATTGGCTTCAACCGCAGGCCCTGCGAGAGCCGGCGCATCCCAGCCAGAGGTGCTGATAGCCCCTGTGGAGGGCACGTCGGGGCACTGTGGCCTGAAGGTGGCACCAGAGGAGCGAGGGGTCCCGACCAAGGTGGGCACCTTCGACAACAGGCTGCTGCGGGACGCCCCCTCTCTGGGCTTCATGATTGCCGCGCCTCGGTGCTGCGGAGGCGACCGCAATGGAAGCCGATGTGGAAGCTGGACTACCCGCCCGTCCTGAGGTCCATGAGGATGGCGACGAGGCCGTCGAACGCCGATGCAACGCCGTGCCACATGCGCCACTCCTGGCCGAGCTGGGACCAGATGAAGAACGCTCGAACGCTGCAGCGGTTCCCGAAAAGAGAGAGGTGGGCGACTACGAAGACCCTGGTGAAGTACGAGGAGCACGGCAGGTTTGCTATGTGAATGTCGGAACACTCAGAGGCCCGCCAGGAGTTGTTCGGAAGTTGCGAGGCACGCGTAGGGGAGTTCGCCCAGTGTTTGAAAGCCGTAGACTGGCCGCCTCCGCCTTGAAGGAGGGTGTTTTCCTGGATCTGTTTTCTGGCTCAGGCGGAGTTGCTAGAGCGGTCAGAGCTGAGGGTTTCAGAACTGTAGAGTGGGACCGAGAGTTCGGTGAAGCCTTTGATTTAGGCCGTCAAAAGCATGTTAGGAAAAGAAAGAAGATGATCCATGACGGCGAGGTCATTGGGGCCTGTCTGGCCCCGCCTTGTGCCAGTTTTCCAATTGCTAGGGATCGGACCAGGATGGTTCGCGACAGAAACCATACCTGGGGCCTTCCCGATCTCCCAGAGCATGAGCAGTCAAAAGTAGATCAAGGCAACCGTTGCCTTCAGTCGTCGTTGCAGATAATTCGCTGTCTGAATATGTTTTCGATCCCTTGGGCCTTGGAAAACCAGCTGACGAGTAGAATGTGGCTGACACCCCAGGCCCAGGCAATCGAATGCTTAGACGGGGTGAATGACATAACTTGTGATTTCTGCATGATGGGTACCCCTTGGAGGAAGCGGACCCGTATTAGATTCGGCAACGTGTGTGTAGAAGATCTAGAAAATCGGGCCGGACGAAAGGGGGGGGATTGGGAAAGGGGGGGTTACGAAATTTGCTGCATGCAGCTGGTTTCGGCCCCACCGAGGGGCCCAATCCTCGATACATAGCGGCCTTTGGCGCCGGGGGGCGCCGGGAAAATCAGCTACGTGAGCTGATTCTCAACCGCCCCCTTTGCTATCCCCCCCTTTCGCCCGACCCGAGAAAAGCTTGCACGGATGAGATGTTCAGGAAGAGACGGTTTTTGTTCCCGCGCTGGCAGGAAGCATTTCCAGCTAACGGGGGGTGGGCCCACAGGAGCTCGATGGACCGCCATCGCTGAGCCCTACCCCCCAAAGTTGTGCCGCCTGCTCGCACGAATCCTCACTGAGAAGGCGCGTTCCCAAAGGCAGCCGGCATGGTCCAAAATGGGGTAACTCTCCGTGTTTTCGGGATGCCCGAAATCTTTTCGCGCTGCGGGACGTTTTGGAAGATTTCTCCTGCTCCTGGGAGCCGTTGTGACCCAGGAGCTCTCGCCGCGTGTGGACAGCGTCACACTCATTCGAGATATATCGCCCACCAGAATAGAGCTCCCCCAGTAATTGCTGTGCGTGCACAGGTTTGAATGGGAGTTGCTCGGAGTCATGTTGCCTCTGCGTCTGTCAACCGCCACCGTTTTCCCTCAAGTTTCTCGCGGCCCAGTGCCCTGCCCTGTTTAACCTTGCCCCGCTTCCCTTGTCTCTTGAGTTGAGACAGGTCGTGGTCGACGACTCGGTCAGGATGGAACGCCCGCCAGCGGGCCGCCACCTTCACCGAGTTGCGCCCGCTGCCTTTGTCCTCAAGTCTCTGCTAGCCTTGTCGGACTCGGGATGTTTTGAAAGCTTTCTCCTGCTCCTGGGAGCCGTTGTGACCCAGGAGCTCTCGCCGCGTGTGGACAGCGTCACACTCATTCGAGATAGATTGCCCTCCAGAATAGAGCTTTTTTAGTAATGATGATGATGCTGATGGTGATGATGATGATGATGATGATGATGATGATGATGATGATGATGATGCTTGTCAGGGAGGAGGCGAAGGAGGAGAGGTATGAAGACAGGCACACACGATACGAAGCCTTGTCATTAGAGATCCTGGGGCACACTCCTCGTCGATCGTTGGGGGTGCTGCTGAGGCACGGTGGAGCTTCTGTGGGACCCTGGGGCCATTAGTGGATAAGAAATGTTCGTGGGACACCTGCTGGCTGGCAGGTGTATATATTACTCGACGTCGAGGCCGACGACGACGACGACGACGACGCCGACGACGACGACGACGACGACGACGACGAAGACGAGGACGACGACCACGACGACGACGACGACGAGGACGACGAGGACGAGGACGAGGACGAGGACTAGGACGACGACCAGGCCGACCACGACGACGACGACGACGACGGCGGAGGTGGCGGCGACGCTTTCAGCGACGGCGACGAGGCCGACGATGACGACCACGACGACGGCGACGACGACGACGCCGCCGCCGCCGCGGCGGAGGCCGCCGGCGCGGGGGAGGCCTCCGGAGCGTCGGGCGCGGGCACGCCGCAGGCCAAGGCGCGCGGGCCAGCAGGGCCGACGGTATGACGACGAGGACGACGAGGACGACGACGACGACGACGACGAGGACGACGACGACGACGCTGCTGACGACGACGAGGCCGAACTTCGACCCTTGCTGCCGCCGCGGTCGGAAGATGTCCAGGGACCTCTTCGAGCCTCGATCCTCAGAGCTGGCGGCCCCCCCAGCAGTGACCCCCCCTGGCATGTTGCCCGAGGCAGCGTCCCCCCCCCCTCCATGGCCTGGCCGGGAGGACGTGCGCACGGGTCCGTTGATCTTCGGCACGCCCGAAATGGGTACAGTCGGGGCCCTGAAGAAGGAACCCTTTTCGTTGGGGAGGGGCTCCGCGTTCCTTAGGTGTTTCACAGCTTGCCTCAGGTTTTCCTTATGTTTTCGACAGGAAATCGAAGGTTCACTTATGGAAAAAAGGGGACTCGGTCAACGCCTCGACTGTACAGTGGGGGCCCTTGCCAAGAGGCACCTTGCTTGCCTCCAGGGTGCCCTGGGTTTCTCGGGTTTCGATGGTTTTGCCATGGAGAGCGCGACGTTCCCACACCAAAAATCAAGGGACGTGCTGGGGTCTCAGGGTTGGGTTCCTGGTGGAAGGGTTCTGTTGGTCGGGCCCCTACTGCACATCAGGGACACAATTGTCGGGTCGGGAGGATGGGGCTGGGAGAGTTGAAGATATCATTACCCGTACACTGAGACCCTGACGCTGCAATGTTTTCACACCGGTCGTTTTCGCTCAATTTCGGGCCTGGGACTTTCCTAGATCGATGTTGCTCGAAAAATGATGCAGAAAGATGGGGTCCGGGGCTCTGGTCGTGATTCACTGCGATGTTACAATTTGTTTGCCACGTCGGGTCTTCTCGAGGTAGGCGGCCGAAGGTATTGTTCACTGCATCCGGATGCTATTGGTCATGCCTTTCATCCTGCCACCCCCTTCCTCCCAACACGGTTATTGTTCTCCTCAGGGCAATCAAGACGTTGAAAAAGCGAGAGTTTTGAGCTAAGGAAGGGCTCGGGTATACTGTCCGTGCATCACATTTGCTCCGAGGGGGAAAAGGTACCCAGACCGTTGTTCTCGGCTCGTTTTGTACCTTTTTGGGCACGCCGGGAGGTCCTCGTCGCCACCGCTGGATTCGCCTCGAGATGCTGGTCAGAACGTACCTGGGGAGAGGTGCGGGGAGTAGTGGCGGGCATGTCCTTGTACAGGAGGAATAATCGAGAATGGTAGTACAATAGTCCGGGGGCAATGTTTCGCGCTCTTTGGCTTGTTTTGTTTGTTCATGCTATTTCATTTTCCTTCCAACATCCACCTGTAGGAAGACATGCCCGACCTACAGGCGGCCCGGATTAGTAGGTCGACCCTGCCAGATCAAGGGTACCTTCATGTCCAGTGTCCTGCGACCCGTGCCTCCTGCACTTCCGTGGCAGCGCGGCCCTTGGAAGGGTCTCGTGTCCTCTCGCGTGTCCTCTCCAATCAATTTCAGCTGTAAGAGTAGCGTTATCGGTACCTTTGGGTTTCCCCATCCGTGTCGAGGAGCATTTTGGTGGCATAGGCCCGCCGTGGCCCCAGAACATTCCCTTCGTTCCCTATTCACCAAGCGCCTGGCATCGCTCGGACGCGCGCGATTTTCCTTGGCGAGGACCGTCGCGGGGCATCCTGGAACATCAACCCCAAAAAAGCACGCACGAAAATTGAAGAGTGCACGGGGAATGGGCGCCCGAGCGATGGCCAGAGCGCGTTCCACTACTCGCAAAGTGCCTGCTCGCAAACGTCCGAAACAAAAAAAAACACGTGTCTGCTTCGATGAGATTTCTCGTGGATCCCCCGCGGCGGATCCAGGCCACCTGCGAGTGGTTACTCTTTGGGAGCAGTGGAGCGCGCTCGTCGACTTGTCGTGTGTTCGCGACGGCAGCACAGCGGTTGTGCGGAGAAGTGCGCACGATGCCCAGCGGCAGAGGCTGTCCAGGGCCAGCAGCGGCCGCTGCTGCTGTCAAGAGGGGAACAACAAAACCACGCCGACCCCCACACGACGGCCCTGGGACTCTACTGCGGAGGCCTGCCCTGCTCGATCCCCTCCTCGGGTGCGTTCGCTCGAAGGGCTGCGCCTGTCGGGGTGCGTGCCAGGAGGGTCGCTCTCCCGCCCTCTGTGCTGGGCAGGTGGCTCCCTTCCTCCCGCGGGGTGCGACGAGCGAGAGCCCGAGGCGAGCACAGGAGCAGGCTGGAGGCAGCGGGGGCTGGAAACTCCACGGAAGCGGAAGTGGCCAGGGCCGGCAAGGAGGAGGAGGAGGAGGAGGAGGAGGAGGAAGGAGAAGGAGGAGGAGGAGGAGGAGGAGGAGGAGGGGGCGGGGCCAGCGGCCGCCGCGAGGCGGAGGCGGAGGCGGAGGCGGAAGCCGTTGCCGCGGCCTCCCCGCGGCCCGCGCTGTCCCCGCGGCCCACGCCGAGGAGCCGCGTGGGAGCTTGTGCGTGCGCGCGGCCTTTTGTTTCGAGCAGAGCGGAGACCCATGCCAAGAAGCACCCTGCTTGCCTCCAGGGTGTCCTTCGGGGGTGGACAGATACCCCAACAGTGACACGTCGATTAGTGAATTGTCCGTTTTCGGTTCTCGAGAGGGCGCCGTGGCCGTTATTTTCCAGGCTTGCGCCCGCCAGGTTTGGGCCTCAGGTCGTTTTCTCTAAGCCATGTTTCACTAACGGGGGGTCTGTCCATCCCCGAGTCCTGGGTTTCTCGGGTTTCGATGGCTTTGCCATGGAGAGGGCGGCGTCCCCACACCAAGAATCGATGGACGTCCTGGGGTCTCAGGGTCGGGTTTCTTGCGAGAGGGGTCTTGTGGACTGGCCTCCACTGTGGGGGATGGACTACAGAATGGATTGACCCCAAAAGTTGATTCCCTCGTCGAATTCGCAAACAGAGACGTGTGACGCTCGCAGATATGGGAACATGAGTCGCATTTCTCGTGGGTTTGGCGAACAATCATGGGGTAAATCGATTCTGTAGTCGATACCCTACTCGATCCTTCCTTCCTTGCTTCCTCGTCGCTGCCGCCTGGCCGCGCACTCGCGGCGAGCCCAGGGGGCAAGGGAAAAGGGGCGGGCCTTCTCAGAAGGCTCGGGCGTCCCCTGGCCTTCGGATAAGTTCTTTGAGCCTTCCCCGATGGCACAGGAGACCTCTCGGAAGGCGCGAGGGCCTCTGAGAAGTCCCGGCGCCTGCTGAGAAGGCCCTCTCCCTCTCACTTCCCCCCCGTCGCTCGCCGCAGGCGCCCGCTTGCCTACCACTCTGGCCCGCCTCGCCTTCGCTGCCCATGCCCGGGTGTGCGCACGGCGTGGTCGGAATTCCGCTCGGATCCCTGCCCCGTCTTCCAGGGGGGCCGGCCGCGCGCGTCCCCTGGTTGTTCGGGCGAGCTCCTCCGCCTCGTCTTCAGGCGGGTCTGTCCCTCTGCAGGAGGAATTTTCAAGAACAGTCAGAAAACAGTCGGGGGACGATTTTTCGAGTATTTGTTTAAAACAAATCATCTTTGGGTGTTTCTAATTTCCCGTCCAGAATCCCGCTGTAGAGGGACAGGCCCGACTTGACCCGAGTTGTTCGGGTGATCTTCTCCGCCTCGCCGCTGCGCGCGAGGCCGCGGCCGCCCACGAACAAAAAACGCGTGCGGGCGTGCTGGGGCTGGCGCTGGCCCCCCGTTCGGCAGGTCGGACATCGGCCGGGCACCGCAGGCCCAGAGGTTGACACCAACACTACGATCGACGGCGTGCCTCCACCGAGGGATGAAGATCCCAATCTCGGTGCTGGTGGTGATGCTCTGGCTTCCAGGGCGACCGAACTCTTACCACCAACACCGAAATCCAGGATCATCTTCCCCCTGTGGAGGCAACCCCCTGTTTCGCTGTTGGTGCCCATTTGCAGGCCTCCAAGGGCACCTTGCATGCAGCACACCGGTTTCTGGTGCCTGGGGCCTGCGCGCTCCTCGTGGCGATGAGGCTCGACGCTCAAGTCGGGTCTGTCCCTCTACAGGGGGGGCTATTCAAAAATAGTCAACAATTAGTCTGGGGACGATTTTTTCCTATCTTTGACAAGTTTGTTGCATTTTACGACTCTTGTGGGTTTTTTTGTCCCAAGTCCCCCTGTAGGAGGACAGGCCCGACTTAACTCTACGCCTGAGGCCTCCTCCCGCGTTCCTCCTCGGCGGTTGTCTGCCTTTTTCCCCCAGTTGCCCTCCTCTTTCCCTTGGTGGCCCGAAAGGCCACTGAGGGGACGAGGAGGGCCTGAAAGTGTGCTTGCCCTGGTTCCGGCGCGGTCCGCCGGCTTGCCGAAGGCGTTGGCGTCCGCGCCCTCGCTGCTGACAATCAGTGCGTATTGGAGCCGTCCGGGGGGCTGAGGTGGATCAGCATTGGTTGGAGAAAGGAGGCCCGCTTTGCCTCCACGGATGGATGCAGCTCGAAAATTCTGGGCTTACGCCACACCGCCGACCCCTTCGGATATCCGGTACGGCCTTGGGTGGGGGGGGGGTCCGCGCAGCATTAACAATCTGTCTTTCGCTATCTCGCGCGTGGTTTGTTCTTGTGCACTGCCCCCCCCATGTCTCCGCGCCAAATTGCAGCCGGTTGCTGCGGCCTCGCATCAGGTCCACTCTCAGCAACTTGGTACGTTTGTATGTACTAATGATCGTATATATACATATACATATGTGTATATATACAGAAACACATGCAATCTTATATTGTACACACACGCGTACATAACATGGGCAGGCATGCGTGCACAGAGGTGGCACTGCGCGGTGCCATTCGACAGCGTGTTTTTGGGCTCAAGAATTGGCTCGCGGTGGGTTCATTCGGCGCCAGCGACAGCGGATGATGTTACAGTCGCGAGCGACAGCGACGCGTTCTTTGGCCAGCCACGAGCAGATCTTAATTAGTTTTTGCGTGTGCTGGGCATGTACATATATAAGCCAGATGATACAGGGGCGTCCCCCCGCAACGCAAGTATATATATATATATATATGGATACATATATGTGTGTGAATATATACATATATATATGTATACATACGTGTGCATGTACATGACATGTATGTATACATGTATACATACGTAGGGGCGTCCCCCTTCATATGCTGGCTTGTGTGTTTCTTTCCCGAAGATATTGTGCAACGTGCTTGAAGCACAGGTACATATCGGACGTCGCCGACGCATTGCGGCGAGGCTCACGCGCGGGCGGAATCAAGCGTCGGCGAGTTGAGCTGCTGCGACGCTAGTATGGGGAAAGGGGGAGGCATGAGGTGGTTCAGAAAAGGAGGAGGGATTAGTGATGCAGATTCTGTCTCTTCTTAGCCGCAAAATTGTAGGAAGACTCCGACAAAAGCCCTGCGAGGATGATCTCGCAGCGCGCGGACGCCCCACCGCGCAGGGTGGAGGTTTTGAAGCCAGTGAAAACACCACGCGCGTTTTTTGTTGTCCTCCGGATCAACGGGGGCGCCTCTTGGAGGGTGTCATTTTCGGAGGCGCGTTCGAGGCTTTAGACAGATCGAGACCAAATCAAAAAGAAAGAAAAAAAAAAAAAAAAACAATGGTTGTGTCAGGATAATCGCTCCTTGCCGCCTGGTGGTGAGTGTGCATTCTCTATGCGGTCGCGGTAGGGGCTCGAGGATGGTCACGTTCGTTCGGCGCAAGATCTCTGGGCAGCCAGGCCTTCCTCCGACGAGACCGTTCACGCGAGTTTCGTTGGGATGCTCGGGTGTCGCTGTGACATCTAGTTTCGATGGCAGCGTCTTTTCCGCAGTTTACTCCAAGGTTGCGCCAGGATAATCGCGCCTCGCGGCCTGCGTTGGAGAGCGATCCCCCCCCATGGGTCCTGGGGGGGGGGGGGGGGGGGGGGGGCGCGAGAACGATCTCGCAGCGCGCGGAGGTCTCAGCGATTGGCGGTGGACTCTGCGACGCCAGTAAAAAAACACGTGCGTTTTTTTGTTTCTGCACGACGAGCGCTGAGGTGTCGCGATGCCATGCTCGACGCACGTCCTATTCAGAACCCCCCCAATGCCGAAACCGTTGTGGCTCCAGCGCGCAGCCCATGAGGAGCGCCTTTTTTCGGCCCCCGCGGGAGTAGCGACGCATGGCTGATGAGGCGGCGCTGGGCGCCGCGTCGCCGTCGGCTTCCGCAGCCGCTGCCGATGTGCAAGCGCTCCCGCCGCATGCTGCTGCTGCCGATGATGATGAGAACTGGGGCTCGCGGACGTTGGGCGCAGCGGATGGGGGCACTCGCGCGGCGCAGCCACAGACAGCGACGCCGCAGCCGCACCCGGAGCCACAGCAGACACCCCAACCACAGTCAGTGGCTCCGCAGCGACAGCCGATACGAGAGAAGAGAGCGCCTTGCCACAGGGCATCATCGCTGCAGCCATCGCCTCGGAGACAGCAAGCACCTCGACCGGAGAAAGCGCGCCCGCGCGATCAGCGGCAGCCGAAGCCCCCGCTGCATCCGCCACCACCAGAACTACAATCAGCGCGGCTGAGTGTGGAGTTGCAGCCAGCATTCCCGCAGCATCCGTCACCACAACCAAAGTTAGGGCAGCCGCGCGGCGAGCTGCACTGGGCAGTTCCGCAGTTTCCGCCAGCGCCCCCGGTGCCGCCACCCCCAGTGCTGGCGCGGCGATCGTCAACTTGGGTTCTGCCAAATGGGCAGCGTGGCGGGCGAGCAGAGGCGCTGCCACCAGTGCCTGTGCCAGCGCCGCCCGCGCCGCCGCCAGTTGACCACAAGGCCCAGGGCTTGCCAAGGGTCCCAAAGACTCCGAGTCCTCCGGAAAGGAAGCGCCCAAAACGATTTGCAGCCTCAGCTTCAGTTGCCGCGGGGGTGGCTGGATGCAGTGGCGGCGGCAGCCTCCGCAGATGCAGCGACCCCAGCAGATGCAGCAACAACGGGCTCAGCAATGGGTGCAACAACGGCAGTGGTGACAAAAGCGCGGACGTCCAGCGAATCTGCGGCGTGGCACAGTGCCTACGCGCAGGGCTTCCAGGACGGCGTCAGTTTTGGATTCGAGAGCGGGAAGAAGCGCGGCGCCCTCGCTGGTGCGATGAAGGAGATTAGGGTTTATGAACTCATTCGTTTTTTGATTTTCCATATGCATTGTCCTTGTGTTGTGTTAGGTGTTGTCTCCTTTCCTCTCTCCCTCTCTCTCTTTCTTCCTCTGGTTACTTGTCTGATCAGACTCTGAACGAACTCTGAGTGAACTGCAGCCCAGCGAGGAACGGCAGAAGTGGACGAGCTGGCACGGTGCAGCTCCAGGTTCGCCGCCTGAAGGGTTCGAGGCCATGACGACCCAGATCGCCCAGGAGATCGGCTCGTTCCCGGCGGCGGAGACGGGCATCTTTGTTGAAAAGGGGTTGGGGGACGTATCATGGAGGAAAGAAAGGAAGGATGGACAAAGAAAGTGAGGAGAAGGGCCGGCAAGGA